AACAAATCAATATTTAATCGTTTCATGATAAAGGTGTTTATTTACACCCCTACTAGGTATTGAATCTGGGAGAGAAAAAGGAGAGATTATCCATAAAGAAGTTTGGTAAAAGTAGCAGATAGAAAAAAATGGTCTTCATGTCTTCCATTAGCTTAAGCCTACAACAGCATGACCACAGAGGTAGTGGTTCAAGCCACTAACTGAAGCAATAGCTGGGTGGTGGTTGGAGATGAGCCTGATTAAGAAATTATCTGTCTCCCTTCCTCCTTTTAGAAACTAGGAGCCAGCAGTAAACCTAAAACATTCTCTCTTCCTGAATTTCCCAACAGAACACCCATTGTAACAAAATACATACCTTTGAGTTAAATTCTTCCGTCATTAACAACTTTTAACCCAAAGGATGTTATTGATGTAAACTGGTACATTTTTCCAAAAGAATGCACAGTGTTTTGGAAATTAATTCCTGTTTTTAAGGTTTTTACCAGCAACTCACCAATTCTGGTAAACAATTGTTTTTCAATTAATCCAATAACAATCAGCTAGCAAAAGGCTGCTCAAAGAAATGTTTTACAGAATTTAAACCAGGTGAAACTAAAACTTTTCTACTTGAGGACTTCTGGTTAGATCACATGGACGGGCAAACAAAATTTTTTCATCTGATGTGCAAAATATTTAAATATTGTTTTACAATTTTGGTATAATTACTGCTCTAATTAGTTTGCTCTGTCAGCTAATGGCATGTGTTAGAGTCTCTTTACTCCATTTAAAGATGAATTGGTGACTAAATGAGTTGACTGTTTTTTCAATAATCGATTAATCATGATTTTTTGTTTCACCCCTAGTTTGTTTACTATCTAAAACAGCCTCATTACACCAAATGCATCCATAAAAACTTATTAAATCATTATCAATTATTCAATTTATTTATTTTAGATTATTGCTATTAAGAAAATAACCATTTAAACTTCAGCATTTTCCTTTTTAGCTGAAATATTTTAGATTCTAGCCAATATTTATACAATATACCATATGTAATTTTGACGAAAATAAATACGTATCAGTATTAATGTAAACTAAATTCAAGGTATTAAACACCTGTTGATAGTTTGTTCACTGCCTTGTTTGACTGTAAACTTTATGTTGCCTTCTTTATTCAATTATCCTTGTTATTGTCTCTGTCTGGATGAATGGCTTCCCTATGCTCATGAAGCTCAATGTGATCATTTTTAAAAAGTCTATGTGTTTTAAATATTTATAGAACTTAATGGTTAAAAGAGGCTGGTGGCTTACAAATGTATTTGTAACTGTGCTTTCTAAAATAAAATTCATGATTTATGCACAGTTTCTGAGTCTGAGGCTTTTACAATATCTCTACCTTCATGAAGGATGTTGTGTAAAGTTCCCTTTTTTAAGTGGTTTCAGCAAACAACATTTAAATGATTGTGTTACTGAAAAAAATATTCCAAAAAAATCTAGATGTCGGTGGGCTAAATTTAGTTGAGAAATCATAGTTCTGCTTCTGCGTAAATTACAGATAAAGTAAAGCATGTCAGGCAAAAAAGGATGAAAAGTGCATTCTGGTGTTAGAACGTTGATAAGCAAATGGATTTCATAAGCTGCTAATGGGTAGGGGGATTAGTTCAACAGTGGCTAGATGAATGAGATGAAGCCACATGGAATCCCTGCTAATGCAGCATAATGACTGATATGTGATGAGGAATAAGCATTTATTTCATTATGTATCACCAGCTACACGATGTGATGTCAGACTGTTTTCCCTTATGAAAATGATTTCTTTCTAACTCTACTTGATTGATAAAAATGATTATACCTGGACCTGATGCTGGCCCCAGCCTTTTGTTGAGGAGGTCATGTTTTGCTAAAAAGGTCTTCCTGGGTCTGGGATAGGCAAAGGTTATCTGGAAATATTGTGAGGTGGTGGAGCATGGATGTTACCACTATATCACTGGGACCCTATAAATCAGCAATATTATTTTCACCCTCACAATGTAGTGCAGCTTCCTCAATCTTAACTATTATATACTGAAGACATTAAAGGCTTTAGGGTCAGGGTGAGAGGGATGTTGCTGTTAGTGGGTTGTGTCACCCTCCAGCCACAACCTTAATTTAATAACAACTAATTTAAATGTAGTTTAGAAATACACATCAGTATTCATCATGATCCAACAACTCAATATTATTTTGCTCAGACTTTATACACAGATGCTGCCAAAACCTCTCAACCAGTTCCAGCTTCCCAAAATGCTCCCTTTATGCCTTTTTAAGTTGAGGTAGATTGGCTACATTATTTTTGCACTGAGAGGCCAGACTAGAAATATAACCTTCCAGTTTAAGGGTGTAACTCAGGTTATATTAAGATTAGCACCTCTATGTGCTGAGGTCACAGCCTTTTTCTTGGTCTTACACCATAATTAAGCTAAAATCTTGTCTCCTTATGAATTCAATATCACTCAGCATCGTATTTTATCAACTGAGCAGGGAAATACAACACCAAAACATTGTATTTTGATGTTTTTGCCATTTGTTTATTTCCCTCAGTGCTCATATTGGATTTTTTTTTTTATTTCTTTTGTATATTGATTGATGTCTTACTTTTAGATTGCTGGTTACTTTTGTGTTAATTTCTAATTTAAATTTTGCTCTAGTATCTAGCTGTTAGGCCTAGCTTTTATTTCTTCACCTTTAATCCTGTCAACTGTAGAACACTATTCTAGGTAGGAGAGGAGCTCTCATCTGCTGTGCAGAATCCAGGCAGGCTTCAGCACATGACAGTAACACACTTGTAGTCAAATTGGGATTACAGCCTTCCGAAAAAGAGCCACAAAAACAAATTATAGGGCATTTACATTTTCACACAGAGTACACATGAACAAATATTGTGTTTTTGTACATTTCTGCATGTTGGGCTGTACTTGAGCAATGGATGGTGGGATTCCTTACAGCTCCTTTCTACCTGATCAGAATTTCTGAAAGGTCCCCTATCTTGACGTTTTTCGTCATTTTCAGACATTAAAGCAGACAAAGCCTTTCTGTTATCTCTGAGTTAGGATTACTACAACTTTTTATACTTACTAAAGGCAATTTTATTCTATTTTTTGTTTTCTTTTTTTTTAGGGATGCACGATATAATCGGCCTCCTATCGGTATCGGCCTGTATCGGCCTTAAAACTGAATATCGGATATCGGCCACCCCACCGATATTTAACCCGATATTTGATCAGCTTCTGAGTTTCTAAAGTCTAAAAAAAAAAAAAAAAATACTACTTCTTCTTCCTTATTTTTTACAGACTTAAAAACTTCTAAAGACGAGGGAAAAAATATTGATACATTAAAATATCACAATATCATCATATGCTGATATATTGCCATTTACAAACACCATATCAATCTCTTTTACTAATGAAATATTGCTATATGTCATCGTTATGCTACAAAATCCCCCTAAAATTAAAAAAATTTTGCCATATTTTTATATGTTGATATATTGACGCGGTATCGATCTATTTTACTAACAAAATCTCACAAGAATTTGCAAAATATCACGAGAATTTGTAACCGAATGATGAAATTTCACGAGATTTTGAAAGTAAAATAGATCGATACCGCGTTTTTAAAAATCAATTTGATATCAGCAAATGAAAATATATTTGAGTATATTATTTTTCAAAGTGTCAGAAATGGATAACAAAACTGCTATTTTCAATGACTACTTATTTTTGTCTAGCTTTAACATCGGTCTCGATATCGGTTATCGACTACGTGAGTTTTAAAATATCGGCATATCGGATATCGGCCAAAATCCCAATATCGTGCATCCCTAATTTTTATTTGTTTTTTAACCAAAATTATGGTGTTATTTTGCTTTCCCTCTTCTTAAAAAAATATTTTTTTTTCTACTTTTTTGGATCAAAAACTTTTAAGCTTCAGGGATCCTCAATCCCTTTAATGCTTTCTTGTCCATGATCCTTTTTCACAGGACTTTACTGCTGCCTTAAAAAGTGCTTACTTCTAAATTTCAAGCATGAATATGTGCAGCAGCTGCAACCCTGTCTTCCCTTCTGTATTGTGGCATTACCGCCACCAAAAAAGGGCTGAAATAAAAAAAAAGGCTAGTGTCTGCCATTTAAAAAGTACTTTCTCTAACATTGTGATCATATTGCTAGTATTTTTAATTGTTCAGCACTTCAATGTCTACAAACATTCCGATAAATATGACGTTAAACAAAATCAAAAAGACCAGGTAATTATGTCATGCCCTTTTGAGCTGGAAAGATTTCATTTTCCACAGTGAGACCAGTCAGGTACCAATATGGGCCAAAATGCCACTCAACAAGGAAAAAGGTGTTTCAAAAGTAACCTAAAAATAAGGATAATAGTTTGCAAATACTCTAAAGACAAATTATTGCATACCAAAAATATTTGACCTGAGTCATACAGTTTATGAGGCCAAAATCTAGGGACATGTATGTTAATTTAATCTGAATAAAGTCTAAAACCGATCTTACATTCTGAGCCACAATGAGTGGAAAAACTGTGGGTAACAAAACTGACCAAAAAGATTAGAGTCTGATTTCATGTCAGAAAGAGGAGGTAGAATATTTGGAAGCTTTTTTTATACATATATAAATATCCGTCTTTGACGGTTATGTGTTAATGTAGAGCGCTGACAGTCAACAAAAAAAACTAAAACCCCCACAAAGGTTCTGTACGCCCCCAGGTCATTATTAAGTAATAGGTTATTAATCATCTCTGGCTAATTACAAGTGTCATTAAGTGCTTCTTGTCTCTTATCAGCTGATGGGTGGAGAAGGTGGACACATGTCGATGCTCTTTATTTAACTTCTAATTTTGCAAAAGAAACTAAATAATATCCTCATCGCTGCTGTTGTCAACATTATAGAAACTACTTTAATTTACAAACAGCACATTGCATTCTTTTTCAGATCCTAAAAACATATTTGTTTTTTCTTTTTTTGCAGGGCAAGGAGACAACAGAGGAAGAGGAGGAGGTTGCTGTTGGCATGGACAAAGGCTTTATGGATGAATTCTTTGAACAGGTTTGTTTCCTATTCTTTCCTATGGCTTTTTATTTGTCCCCCATAAAAAAAGTTTTTTTTTACTGCTTTCTATAACTTGCCATCTTGAGTTAATGATCAGGAGGTTTCTAGCACAACATCTGCGACTGTTTCATCCATCTTCCAACATTGAATCTACTCGTTTCTGTCTGTAATCAATGTGATATAAGGCGTGTTCTCCCTGCTGCTGAGGAATGATTTATAACTATGGATAATGTTGTAGGTGTGGCTTGGATCTTTATGTGCTTTATTTGGCTTGAACATGCCTGTGTTGATTCAGGTCATCACTCCACTGTTTGCCAGTTAATGACTGACCAGATTTTTTACTGCTGCAGGCATCAACATAATTTTGCATTTCTTCCAGTCTCTGTATGCATTTTGAGTTTTTTGTTGTTGTTGTTGTTTTATCATTATATAATAAAACTTTAAGAAAACTCTTAAAAAGGTAGAAGAAAAAAAAAAAATGGAATTTGTAAAGAAAAACACACAAGACTTCCAGAAAGGTTATTGCACCAGTGGTGCAAAAGTGTTACAATGCATTGAACTATACTGTTTTTTTTTTTGCTGTACATGGTAGTGTTTTAGTCAAAACCACACCAACTGAGACCAAGAACTACTGAGACAAGGCCAAAGCCATATAAGTCTTGGTATTCCTTGGTCTTGGTTGGTGTCTTAACAACAACTCCATGCTTGAGAAAAGCTGCATAGAATAAGTTAATAAAAAAGTCAAAAATTGCTATGTGGTGTCAGCCTGGCCATATTCTACATATTTCTTCTGTCAGGATAAGAGGAGAGAAACAGTTTCTTCCCAGAGCTAACCTGGTCGGGAGCAGGTTTTGTTCAGTAAACACAGGGTCCTCTGTCTCCACTCTTCTCACAGTTTTTTTCCTGCATTAGTCAGGATATTTTTGTCATAGTTCTGTGTAAAAAAAAAAAAAATATATATATATATATATATATATACATATATATATAAATTAACTAGGACTGTTAAACACATTATTTAGAGTAGACACAATGACATTTCATGTCCTTTGGATGAGGATCTTATTAAAGAATGATTGGCATTAATTTACAGAGAATTAAATATTTATGGGGAGAGGATTCTTAGTTGACAGGATATGAGGATAATTTGTTTTTTGGTTTTTTTAATATGAACTACATACGGATATTTATACAATATACAATACATGAAGAACTACTGAAATTATTTTCAGATTACACATTAATTAATAAGGAATTACCTTAGGGTTAGGATTAGGATTCATTCAGTGATAACAACCTATTAAGCCTAATGGGAGGTATGAGGCATAATCTGAAACCATTCTATGGGACTGATAACCGCTAATACCTTTCATATGTGGACGCACTGTATATACTGTATATATCCCTATGCACCTTTTCCTTCCTTTGGCACATTCTTCTCCTTTGACTATTTGAGCTCATGTAAAGAGTACGTTTCTCCACTGTGAGATCAATAAAGTCAATCAGCAATCAATAATATTGGTTATTTATAGGGATTATAACATCCAAATAGGCTACAAACACTTAGTATTTACTGTGTGATGGAAGACATAATAAAAACTTAGGAAGAACCCCATGAGATGATGCACAGTTGCTACCTGTTTGAAGAAAGTTTTTACACTTCATATTGTCAGGATTTGGTTATGGATTGTTGACCCAAAAGCAGAGGCAGGAAGGCAGAGGTGAATTTCTCGGTGATTTAATGAAGGTTTACTGAAAATAGAGGCAGGTAATCCAAAAAGTAAACAAAGTCCAAACTAACAGGAAACCTGGGGCCTGTTTCAGAAAGGAGGTTACCGTATTTTCACGACTATAAGGCGCACTTAAACGTCTTTTTTTCCCCTCAAAATGTGCGGTGCGCCCTATGGTGCGGTGCGCCCTATGTGTGTTGTAACTGCGACTTTTGAGACCACCTCATTGAGGAGATGATGAAAGAGTGGCTGAATGTAAGGAGACCAGGTGTTTTTTTTCCACTCATCACCATTAATCTGTAACTCCATGCGTACCCATCTCACAGCTGATGTGAAAAACATGGGGAAACAAATTAACCCTGTGCTCGCTGTTCAACCGCTCAACATCGGTGTGATCCGGACCCAGCAGGTGCAGCAGAAGCAGCGAGTTTACATGCAAAGTCAATGGTTGACGCGCATATAGGTGCAGCAAAAGGTCATGCAGCGCGTTTTGAGCCGCAGGTGCAGCACGTCACGCTGCTGCTGCTCAAGATGGAAAAATTGAAGTTTTGCTGCTGGACGCGCCGCATCAACCAATCAGAGAAGCTGATCTGGGAGCTGACAGCGAGACAGACAGCGCTCTGATGAAAGAGGAGATGATGAAAGCGTGGCTGAGGGAGGTGTAGCCTATGTGAGGAGACAAGGTGTTTTTTTCCACGCATCACCATCGCTGCGTGCCCATCTCACAGCCGATGTGAAAAAAAAGATGAATCAAATGAACGCTGTGCTCGCCGTTATCCCTGGGGGGTCTGACAAAGGAACTTCAACCGCTCGACATCGGTGTGAAGCGCCCGTTCAAAGTAAGGCTGCGAGCGGCGTGGGAGCGATGGATGACCGACGGAGACCACAGTTTCAGGATAAGTTGAAGGCAGCGCCGGGCAAGTTACGCCACCGTTTGCGGATGGATTGTAGATGCTTGGACTAACGTGTCTGCTGGCTCTGTTCTTCAAGCTTTTGCAAAAGCCGGCATTATTTCTGAGGAGCTGCGCTGCACGGAAAGTGACTCTGACAGCGCAGAAGGGGAAACTGGCATGTCTGATTTAGCGCAGCTGTTTTTCAGAAACAGAGGATGATGACTTTGATGGGTTTGATTAATACTTTGTAATAAATACATGAATAAAGCACAGTCATACTCAGTTTTGCTCCTGCTCTATTTTTCTACCTGAAAGCTTAATTCAACAGCAGCATCTCCTCCTCTTCAGCGCGGTGGCTGGCAGGTGTTTTTTCATCTAAATAATCTAAATCTTGCAGCTATATTTGCTGTGATCAGTTGGAATAAAGTAGCTTTAATATGTTTTTAAGTGAGAAAGTCCACCTGAAAACTTAATAATTGCAGTCAGTTCATCCAGATTATCTATTTCTGTCGGAGGCGCTCAGACCCCCACATACCAGCGGTGCACCGACAGCAGAAATCCTTTCGTTCACCGCGGCTGCTGGCAGGTGTTTTTCATCTAAATAATTGAAACTGCAGGCACCAGGATACCGGTAATAAAAGCGAACATATTCTGTCGGCAGGTTTCAGGATTTTAAGTTAATTTAGGAGTGATCACAGCGCTGTGTCATCTGCGATGTCTCTGTCTCACGGCCAGCTGCCAGGTTTGATTAATACTTTGTAATAAATACATGAATAAAGCACAGTCATACTCAGTTATGCCCCCGCTGTATTTTTAAATACGCAGTAGAGGTATTTAAAGGTAGTAGAGGACATGTACCTGTATATAAAAAACGCGCCCTATAGTCCGGTGCGCCTTATGTGTGTGTTAAATACAGAAATGGGACACATAACTGAGAGTGCGCCTTTTAGTACGGTGCGCCTTATGGTCGTGAAAATACGGTAAGTGAAAACTCTGAGTTTGTTAACCCTGAAATGAGGGAAACTCTGGGTTTTCTGTTTTAGAAAGGGAGGTAAGTTAAACCTGAGAAAGCAGAATAAGTCAAGCCCGTTTCTGAAAGAGAGGTAACTTATACTCAGAGTCAGTTACCATGGCAATTTACTCTGTGAACCTAACCTGGTCGGGAGCAGGTTTTCTTCAGAAAATCCACAGTTTATTTTGGTCTCCTCCCCTTTTTTTAAAGAGGAAGTGGTGTTTAAACACCTCTGATTCTTTGGGGACATACAGTATTCATTGCACACATTTCAGTCACGTACTGTAGAGCGCATCAAAGGGAATGAAATGGCATGTCCTTTTATGGATGATCCTGTTTGTAAAGCCAGGTAGCTACTCTACTCCCATGATGTGCTCAAGGCTTACCTGCTTGAAGTATGTTTTTATATTTCATTTTCAGCTGCTGCCATGTTCTTTTGATGCCTGCAGGATTGCACCTATCCATGAAAACTAAATTAGGTTTAATAAAATACTGTTCTTCCAGTTTCACCTCTGATATTATAACAGTTGGGTAAGTTACTCTAAAATAGTTCTTAGTTACTAACTACAAATTTTATCTTCAACAAGTCTAATTAGATTAATGTAATAATTACTGTCTCTAGAAAGTATTGGTCTACTTACTAATTTGTTTTACTTACTTATTAATTACTTTCTAAATCCCAAATCAACCTCAACCACTTGAACAATACAAGGAGAGACAAGAAACTGCACTTCTACTGCTTTCAAATAAACAATATTCAATTGCATGAATTAATCTTAAATTGACCAAAGTGTTTAACTAGAGGGAGAAAGTTCAAATCAAAATATACCTTTTAAAAATTTGATATTAAATCCACTATTTTTTATAGTCTTTAATTTAATTACAGTATTTATATGACTTAAGTAACTTAATTCATTACACCCAACACCGTATAAAAGTAATTAAAATGTAAACTAACGCATTGACTCTAGCAGCTATTTTCACCCAAGCTAACTCTCTCTCCTTCGCCGCTGCAGCCGTGTTGCTTTTTTTTTTAAATACATGTTCAAATTCTGCATATGCTTGCATAAGCACATCCAGTTCTGCTGGTGAGAAATATGCACACCTTTTTTTGTCTGACGCTGTTGCCATGGTGACTCGTAATATCTGTGCTCCATTGATAATGGCTTTTTATAGTTGTGGTGCACGCGCTTAACTCAGTCAGTCAATTTAGAGTTGATTGAACTAACTCATTTCAGCTGTTCTGAAACCCAAAACTCAGAGTTTCCAATCTCAGGATAAGTCAACTCAGAGTTCAAGTTTTAACTCAGAGTTGGTTGAACTTCCTTATTGAAACAGGCCCCAGGAGTCCAAAAATCCAAA